GGGGGGTTGTCTTACTGCATCTGCAACACAATCAGGTCATATAAGTGCAGGAGATTAGAGGTATTACTAGAGAGAAATATACAATAAAATAGGAGGAGAGACCAGGATGATAGATGTTTAAAAGCAAAGAAGGAGCAAGCCACACCAGAGCACCCACCCCCTATCCACACAATGATCTTTTAAAGTTAAAAACAATTCACAAAGTACAAAGTAAAACTTGAAGCTTATCAATGCTTGTACAGAACCAGAGCTTGCAAGGGCATGGCATAACTAACAAGCACTAACCGATGCCTGTGGTGATGCTTGACCGCCTCTCCGTGCGAGTAACCACAGGGAGGGGCGGGGCTGGGCTGGGCCGTGTCGCGATTGTCCGGGGGTGTTTGCGGAATTTGTCAGCCAGCAGATGATAGATGGCGCTGTGGTGCTCAAAGCCGTTTTCCTCCACACACTGCATGAGAGAGTTTGTTTGAGTAAAGAAAAGCACATCTACACAATTACGGTCATTTAATGCAAAGAAAAAGTAAGACAGACAGACGGACAGACAGAAACAACAGAGAGAAAGTAAAGAAGTAGGACCTCCCAGTGGCACCCTCCAACCACCCACCTGCATGATAGGAACACCAATCAGACACATGTGAGCAGCACAGGCCCCTTATTTAGGCACACAACGACTTTTTTTAAGGGGGGTTAGTTTTAGTACAAGTTTTACAGCATTTGCAACACAAGTGGGCCATATAAGTGCCGAAGATTAGAGGTGTTTCAAGAGGTGTAAAAAAAAAAATTAAAAAAAAAAAAAAAAAAGGAGGAGAATTAAGGATGATAAATGTTTGACAGGAAAGAAGGAACAAACAAAAGCAGAGCTCCCACCTACCACCCATAGGGAAGGAGGGAGTAGGATGGAGGGAAAAAAAAAAATCCCAAAAACCACACACACACACCAAAAACACACACAACACATCACACTAACAATACCAAAACCCCCCCCAACACATATAACATGCCATACCCCTGAGACTACACTACACACACACACACCCAGAGACCACACACACACACACTCACACACCAAAAAACACACACACAACAGGCCACACCCCGAAAGACTACACATACAAAACATCACACATTAACAACACACACAACACCCCAGACACACACCAACAACATAAACAACAACACACACAATACCCCTGACACTACACTACACTACACACACACACAAACCTTGGCAGTGTGCTCGGCGTCCAGCCCTAGCCCCGACATATGCACCAGGATCTGTTGGCCGAGCTCTGAGTCAAGGGATACGCCCTCGTCCTCCACTAGCACCCCTTGGTCTACCAGGGGCTCCGGCTCGTCCGGCGTGGCCTTGAGCCACTTGTGGGACAGCACGTCCGACACCGTGAACCGCTGGGCCGAGTCCACCACCAGCATGTTGGAGATGAGGTGCTCGCAGTCTGATCAAAGACACACAGGGAATTTACAATTTTGGATTTTTTAAAACATACTTAACATTTAACACTCTCGATTAACACAATTTAAGGGTTGTTGTTTTTTTATGACACAGCATGGCAGCGAGTAGGGTTTTTTTAAAAAAAGTTAACATTTAACAACCTCCATTACCACAACCTACGTTGGTTTCTTTTGAAGACATAGCATGTTGGAGATGAGGTGCTCGCAGTCTGACTACAGACACAACTGGAATACAGGGTTGGGTTTTTTTAAATTAATGTTTAACATCCCACATCACCACAATTTAGTTTGTTGGGTTGTTGTTTTTGGGTTGTTGGGTTTTTTTTGAAGACACAGTATGTTGGAGATGAGGTGCTCACAGTCTGATGAAAGACACACCAGGAATTTAGGATTTTAAAAAAACTTTTACTTAGTTAACGTTTAACACTCTCCATTACCAAAATTTACGTTTTTGTTAAAAAGACACAGGATGTTGGAGCTCACAGTCTGACTAAAGACACAACTGAAACTCAGGATTATTTTTTTTAAAGCTAATTTTTGACATCCTCCATTACCACAATTTAGGGTCTTTTTTGAAGATACAGCATGTTGGAGATGAGGTGCTCACAGTCTGAAGAAAGACACACCAGGAATTCAGGATGTGTTTATTTTTTTAACCACAAAAGCTTTACACCCCCATTACCACACTTAAGGTCGATTATTTGAAAGCACAGCATATTAGAGATCAGGTATTCACAGTCTAATGAAAGACACATCGGGAATTCGAAATGGTTTGCATTTTTGTTTATAGTAAACATGTTACATTCCCCATTACCACAGTTCAGGTTTCTGAGAAGACACAGCATGCTGTAAATGAGGTGCTTGCAGTCTGACGAAAGAAATACAGGGAATTCCAAATGTTTTTAAAAAATATTGAACCTTTCAGACCGAAGGGCAAGAACCTAGAGGGCTGCTGGATCGGAAAAGTAAAAGTAAATTATAGTAAATCTTTTACACTCCCATGACCAAAATTCGTGTAGACAACAGAGATTTTTGTCAAAGCCGTCCTCCTAAATGATCTAAACTGTGTCATTAGGGGTGTAAAACACCTAAATCTAAAAAAAAAACCAACAACACAAAAAACAAAAACAAAAACAAAGACAAAACAAGACATTAACTGATAGACACCTACCACGAGTCATGTAGAAGGGCACACGGTACTTCCCAGCTAGCACCCTATTTCTCAGACTTTGGAGCGTGCTCCCGTCAAAGGGCAGGGCTCCACACACCAGCACATACAGCACCACACCCAAGCTCTGCAGAGAGACAAATACACAAATACACATGATGCAATCAGATTTCCATAATTCTACATGTCCAAAAATTGACGAGCACCTGATTCCAAGGCGTCGTGACACATATTTATTTCTGGTCAAGGTTTTCGTGTCTTTTTCAGTTTAAAAAGGCAATAACAAAAGTTGAAGAAACCTAATTCCACGGCATCGTGACACATATGTGTGCAACGCCTGCTTCTGAGACTCACCCATACGTCCACTTTGGGGGCATCGTACTCCACGCCCTCAAACAGCTCTGGGGCGGCGTAGGGAGGACTCCCACACCACGTCTTGAGCGGAGAGTCAGGGCTGAAAAAGTTGCTGAATCCAAAATCTGGAACACACCAAAGAAAAGGAGAAAATGTTGGGAGGAAGTTTTTGGATCACTTACGCTCTGTCTGGAAATAAGAATATAACAGGAAGCAAATACTTCAGTTCTATTCTATCCTTTAGTAAAAACTTTGAAAAGTATTGTTTACTGCTTACCCCAGCCACTCTTATGACTTAAGATAAAGTGAAAATGTCTCAGTTGTTGGATCTTTTAATAAAGAAACTGTTTTCTTGAGGATATGAGACCAGTAACAGGCATGTTTACCATACCAATATAACTAGAAATCATTAACAGAAATGACTTATGTCATTGTGATTATGTCATGCAATTGCTTTATGGCGATCCTTATGTAACTGTCCAGCAAGACCTTCAACAAAAACATCTTCCCAAGTGAGGGAGAGGGAGAGGGAAAGGGAGAGAGAGGGGGGAGAGAGAGGGGGGGAGAGAGAGAGAAAGAGAGAGAGAGA